TCTTTACCCTATCACCTCAGATTGGAGTTGCAGGTAATCCCAAGAGCTTGGGTTCGAAGAACAGTCTTCTGGCTCTGATTTATTGAATTGCGTCATTAGGATACTAAGTTTCTGTGCTCTACTGAAATAAAAAAGGTAAGCTCCTTCCAAGAGAGGCCAGAGGCAGAGAATCTCCCAGTGGCTACAGAGAGGAATTTAAAAACCTCAAGGAAAGAAACTAGACAACACACACTCACAATCGGCTACAAATAATGCTGGAGGGAGACCAGAAAGACACTCTTGAGGCAGTCAGAAAGAAATACAATGTAGAAATAAAGACAAAGAGATGAGAGTATCTTAAATCTAGAAAATAAAGTCCATTAACAACACAAAGGCAAAAGGCAAAGGACAAGGCAGGACCGTGCGTGCCCTGAGCAGAAGCCCCAGGAGGAGTGCGGGTCACACCAACGGGCTCCCAGCCAGTGACCAGGTCTGCTGCTCCTCACCAGAGACACCTTCTGAGGGATCTCTGCAGAACCTTTCAGAGCTTAAAGAGATAATATTTATTTAATAACAACAACCTCTCAAAGAGGGGAAAAATACCAAATTTTACTTTGTTTCTGAGACTGAATGAAACCCTTGAGAAGCAAAGGGAAACTGAGAGGACTTGCTGTACGGTTCCAGGTCAGTGTACATGACAGTACCAAACCACAGGTTACTGCAAAAATTAATGCCCCTCTTTGCCCTCTTCCTGCTTGGTTCCCAACATTCACTGCACAGTTTTCAGCTACTTTAACATGACAGATGCAGAATGTGGGCTTTTTCCCCTTGAGTTGTGTCTTTTACCAAGCACGTACATCAGTTTAATGTAAGGAAAGGGGACAAGACAAAACAGAAATCAACTTACAGATACTTATTTCCATACATCAGAAATAACTGTATCTGAAGGGGTATAAAGACAGGTTGCTTCATACTGTATAAAAGCTGAAAAAAAGCCGGATGCAGAAACAGTTGGCTGCCTGAGTCAAAAAACTGGTTTGCTTCACTGAATTTCACTGAATTTCACTGAATTTTTAGAGTTGGAAGGGACCATAGAGATCATCTAGTCCAACTCCCCTGCTAAAGCAGGACCACCCAGAGCATGTCTGATCATCCCACTCAGGACTGCATCCAGGCAGGTCTCGAAAATCTCCAAAGAAGGGGACTCCACACCCTCCCTGGGCATCCTGTTCCAGGGCTCCGTCACCCTCACCATGAAAAAGTTTTTCTTCATATTCAAGTGGAAACCTTTATGTTCCAAATTGTGTGGAACCCTTTATCTTCAAATTGTGTTCCTTTAGCACAGCAGTTTACCTAAATGTGGTATCAACTAACTTGTCTGCAAACCCACATTTAGAAGTAAGTTTAGTAAGTTTTGTTCTGAAAAGTTGTCTATGCATAAGCAACAAGCTGTCAATTACCTATGTGCATGTTTGAACACAAATTTTGCTTCATTTAGATTTTACCCAATCCTACAACAGCCGCCTACCTATCAATGCCTCCCAGCCACATCCAAATAAACCCATTTTAATAAAACAACTGCAGGAGAAGGAATTATTACTGAAGCAACTGCAGGATCTGATCCTAACCATGTATTGCCAGCATACTGCTACCCAAGTACCCTAGAGTGCTGTTCTTCCATCCAAAAGTGAGATTCCCACATGACACTCTTCCACCTCATTAGGGAGGAGCTGTTAATATAAAGACCCTCTACCAGTGGTTAGCACAGCACTCCAGTCTCTCCCCCAAAAGTATCAACACTAATTCTTGCAACCTTCTTTTTCGGAATAACCCTGACTTTAAAAAGTCATAAAAAATTGCAATTAAGATACTCAGCAGCTAGATTTCAAAGATGTTATGCACATCTTCAGCTCTTAAACCCTTACGACAGAGCAAATGAAGAAATTCTAACATTAAAATCCATACAAGCTGTTTTTTTTTTTTAAAAAAGTCCTAATTTCTTTTTGTTCTTTAACCCTTTTTCAGACTTTTTAATACTACAGTTGTGCCTTCAATCCAGGAAAAAAAAACCCTGTTCCTGTTTGCAGGGTTCCGGCAGGCTGGCAGCTGTAAAACCACTAAGATACAGTCGCTGCACAAACAGGAACCGCCGCTCGGTACAACAGGAACCGTCCCGCTCGGCTGGGAACGGTGCAGACTCGTGCCCAGGGAACCCATGGGACACGAGGGGTTACTGCAGTTTAAGAACCAGCTTCTGCAGCTCAGCCCAAACCTTCTCCCACTGGACTCGAGTCCCAGCCAGACCGTCCCGGGGGCCAGGACGGCGCTGTGGGGAGCCCCCGGGGGTACAAAGCAGATTTACCCACCCACCGCCGCAGAGTCTCAAGCACATTCAGACACTTAATTGGAAAACGGCTGGGGCAGCTTGAGATTGTACTGCCTTGTGGCTGTTCAACATCACTCCTGCACCAGGTATACAATGAAAGGTGACAGAAGTCCTCCTAATGCGGACGGCGTGGCTCTCATCTGCTGCCTGCTGCCTTCTGAAGCGCTGAATGCTTCGGGAAACAAGCGACGGGAAACTTTTTTAAAGCTTCATCAGCAAAAAAATCAAACATGTGCCCAGGAAGCTGAGAGAAGCACCTAAATTTAGGATGGCCTTACCCTCGTAAATGGAGGCCGAAAGGAGGGATGCTTCCACACTAACTATCTCTCATTAACATGCTTGCTTTTTCACTCCCTTCACGGTTCCTCAGAGAGCAATAAATTTTAAGAGCTGTTGTTGTTATTAAGGACCTGAAAGACCATGAAATGGGACAACCCTACAATTAAAAAATTTCCATTTCTCATTGTTTGGAGTTTTAGGACCAGGGAGAGAGGAAAAAATAAGGTTCTACAAAGACTGATGTTCTTTGCCTTGCTTCCCATCTCTAAAAGCTGAAGAATGTCTTACTGCTGAAAGAATTGCAAGGTCCTTTAATAGTTTGTTCTTTTGTTCCAAACTGAACACAACTTACTGGATGCAGAATGGAACGCACACGTTTCTTTTCAAACTTTTCACACCACCACCTTCAAACACAAAATAAGCCAAAATCTCTGGAATCCACTATATAAATTAATTACATTATTTTAAAAAGTGGCTCCTGCACTCTTCCTTACTCCAGCTTTCACCAGTCAGGCATTATTCACCAATTTTCCCCAATATTTGGTTTCTGTAACATTCAATTCCACATGAAACTCTAGAGCTTTGCTTAAAAAACAAAACAAAAAACCCAAACCAAAAAATCAAACCAAAAAACCTCCAACACTCCCCTTGGTGTTCAGAAATACAGCAGCATTGCACATCTGAAAACAAAGGGAGAAAATCCTTGCTTTTGCACACATTAATCCAGACTGATGTGATGAGACCCTAAAATGAAAAAATATGTGTTTTCTGACCTAAAGGGAAAAGGCTTTTCAAGCTTCAGATTTTAATCAAAGCCTGGTCAAAGCTCTGTTCCAAACAGCCTTATTTTCCTTTTGAGCTTAAAACAATTTCCATCTAGTATTTTAAAGAGAAATGTACCAATGACAGCCTGACCACAGGAATCTTTAGCCCACTAGGTTTAAACAGCTCCAGCTGGTGACTGGGAGCCAGCAGCACACACAGATTGCCAGGATGCCTTTGCTCTGGCTCCGAGAGCACTTCTCTGCCTCTCTCATCTGGTGCGAGTGGTTCTCCTTTCAGGATGGCTCTCCTCCTCCAGTCACTGGGAGAGAAGCCCTGGCGAGGTGTAAACTTCAGGAGACCACAAGGGTTTCCTGAAGAACACGTTACCTGCCAGAGGAACACGAGCTGCTTTTTGCAAAAGAACACTTGAAATACCTTCCTCGTAGGACTCAGTACAACTCAGCATAGTTTTAGAAGCTGCAATGCAAGATGTGTATATAACTTGCTTGTCAAAGCACAACCGCATTGTTCCAAAGGTGGTGACAGACACCCCGGTGGCAGTCGGGTCACCTCCTCTGCTTCATACGTTACAGGAACGTTGCTTTTTAACTTTTTTGTTTAAACCGGGAACAATAAATGTGTGTTTCCAAAGAGCATAAATTCACTCTTACAGATAATTTAGGATCTAAGTCATCAGAAAATCAGATGTATTAGTCTACGTTAATAGTTTGAAGTTAAAAATATAACTGTGAAGAACAGGTAACTATAACTCACGTCCATTAGCTTTCCAGCCATGGCAGCAAGGACCTAGTGTGACCTGCACACAGCAGGCAGAGTTAATACTCAGCCACCTGCATGTGGATAACTACCACCCCTTCTCAAAGGGCACTGCTGGTCCTTCTCTGCTCAAAAATAGCAATTGGAGTTCTTACGTACCTTTTTTCCTGAAAGGCAATACAGACTAAGTAGTGGCCTACTAAATTTATATTAAAAAAAAAAAAAAGCTTATTTTACTCTTAAAGTAAAGTTTGTTGATTAATTTTACTTTCAAAAATCTCTGAGGTTAAAGTAAAAACTAGAACGTGACAGAAGTTTGATAACCAACTTAAACTTTTCACTAAATTTATTGTCAACTTTTTTCTGAATACATAAATGATAAAAATTTTATCACCCATAATACACAATTCTTTTTTTTATTCCCATCATACAATTGAATAAGTAGTTTAAAATATATTTCCACACCTCAGGGTTCTGCAGCTCTGGCCTGGGGTGGTGTTTAGGCTGCAGGACAACACACCCAGCCCGCCGGCAGCACCGCTGCAGTGAGAACCAGGAGCAAGCGGCCCAGGAGGAGTGCCCAGGAAGCTCCCTGGGGAAGGTTACACCACCTTCTTTAGTCACCCCCCGCGTGTGGGCAGTTGGGCCGAAAGGGAGGGGGGGCCATGGCCAAGAGACCCCACGGCTGGTGCCAGGACAGGAGTCACCACGGCCCCGACGGTGGGGCATTGCGGCTGCAATGGAACACGGTCAACCGCTGGATTTATAACGCACAACTCACCCAAATTATAAAATACTGTATTAATGTTCATACCTGAGTCTTTCTTGTTCCCTTTTCCACCGTCTCGGCTCTTTTTTAAAACTGCCTTTAACATTTTAAATGTTGCTCCTAGAGGATAACAGAAAGAAACAAAAATAAATGCAACATTAATAATGTCTGTTCACACAAAACCAAAGAAAATAAAGATAGGATCAATACAATAAAAACAGTGAGGTAATCAGAAGAAACTTTTTACTAATTACATTTATTTTTTAGAATGTAGCTCAGTTAAGCAAAGTCCTGAAGGACAAAGGAATGTTTTAGTACTTGAAGTAAGCAATTAGAGTTCACTGTCTTCTTGTACAGAAAAATAATACAGCATTCTCCACATTCCACATATAATTAAGGTTATAAGGCTAAACCCGGGTAAGTTACTGTAAGACACTGTCGAAAATGAAGCAGAATAAAGGTCTGAGTCCCGGCCAGCGTCTGTCAGCACGGCGGGGAGACGACAGAAATCAGCCACGGGCTGGGGGTGCCCGGCCACCGGCGGGTGACAGGGGACACAGCACCCCCAGGCCACTGCCCTTCCCCTGCTGGCCACGTACCACTGGCCACACGGAGAGGGACCACTGCAGTGTGTGCACCCACGTACCCACCCCTGCCAGCACCCGCACCCCTGCCTCCACATCGCAGATCTAACCATCGACTCCAAGGGAGCAGCAGTCGCAGATTTCAAATGATGACTAATTATAAGAAAAACATATCCGGGATGTAAAACTGAAAGTCAGGCACGTTGTTTCAGATAACTATCTTCAGCTACAAAGCAAGGAAAATGGAATGAAAGGAACTATGAAGAGCGTTTCTTTCTCAAAAAAAGCTTTCGGGAGCATCTACAAATTATAATTTCATTTGCTTTCTCTACTGAAAAAATCCAAAGCTGCCTCATTTAGAAAAGCTGCAGTACAGAATATGCACTTGAGCACGTCCTGTCCGTCCGTGCAGCACAGAGGATGTCCACAAACAATGGAAGACCTTGTCTGTCCGCAGCACCTGGACCGGGCCAGGAAAGCCGCTGTTCCTGGCCCTGCCACCAGCCAGGGAGGGAAAAGGCTGCCCCAACACCTGAAACAGGGCTGCCCTGACACCGGAACGGCTCACTGCCCACATTTATTAAGGACTCTTTGGGAATGGCCTCCTCCTTGTGCTTGTCAGGAAGGCTCAGCGACTGTGAACACACACCCACTGAGTGTGAGCTGCAGGTAAACTGTCTGCTCACAGCTGAGAAGGGCTGTAGTGAGGGTCCCCTGCCCACAGCCTGGCTGCTCGGGTGTCCCCAGTCACACAGTCACAGCGGGACAGCCGGGATGCACATTTCACACCCATCAGGATTCACTGGCATTCCTTCAGGCAAACCATAGGCACCAGCTCCGTTGTTCTCTTTCCCGTGTTCTTGATCACCATTGTAAAAAGGATCTTTCTAATTTTATTACAAAACTGTTTAAAAAAACCAAAGTAACGCTGCAAGCAACTGTTGTGACTCATCTCGCATTCCTCCAGCCACTTCACACAATAAGGTTGTGGTCCACGCAGGAGTTTGGAACTAATGCAGGCTTTGTGCTTCATGTTCAGACACTGGTCATTTGTTCCAGAAACCTAGATACATAAATTTCACCCTAATATTACAATATGAAGGTCTTACAGTCTTTAGAATGCATTTTGATATGTAATTAGACAGTTCTTTAAAATGGAAGTTTTCTCAGCTTATTTTAGCACATTGCAATTAAGGTAATTGTACTCAAGGGCAGTGTAGCTTTTAATGTTACCAGCTGGTCACAGGTTCAGTTGGAGCATTTACTGAAGGAAATACCATTCCATCATATAACTCAAGGCTGAAACATAATGCATATGGAGAAGAATGGGAAGTCTAATTAAAGCTGCAGAGACATTCTTAATTTGGTATTGCCTAACTTCTACCTGGCTTTGAAAAGTTAATGTTACCTCTAAAATTATGCAGTCTTGTAAACTGTTGGTATGCTGTATGATAAATTTTACTTACAAGCATTTTAAAATCTCATAAGTCTTGTAGAATAGTGACTTTATTAAAATTCAGCTGGTATCATCACATGAACAAGGGAGAAACGGTCTACCCGAAGTCTTGCTGAAGTTCATAGGGAGGCCTAGCTCTGCTCTAGAGACCACGGGATGCATTTTTAAAAAATTATTTTTCTTTTTCCAAAGCGTAACACAACCAAAGATACAAGAGAGTAATTATGAAAGGGTTTGGTTTCACAGAGCTGATTGTCAGGAGGTGGGAGCCTACTGCCAGTGAAGGCAGCGACATTGTTGCAAGAGAACTGGATCTTTCTTAAAAAAAAAAAAATAAGGTAATAATAAACCACAACATTTACAGGCTGTTGAGCAGCTGCAGTGCTAAAGGAAACCCTCCAGAGCAGCTCAAAGAGAGAAGAAATATGAGCTTAAAAAAAAAAAAAAAAAAAAAAAAAAAAAAGTGGGGAAAAAAAAAAAGGGGGGTACTTAAATCAGGAACACCTGCTTGATGACTTAAGCCTTAACTGTGATCAGTTGGTTCAAGCTGCAGATGGGGATTGCTGTACTTGTAAACAACCTTCTGCTCTTTCTTGGCTGTTCTGGGGAAGCTTAATCACTTTTCTGGATTTAAAAAAAAAAAAAAAAAAAAAAAAAAAGAGTTGGTGGAAAAAGTAACGGGTGCAAAGAGGAATGGAATGGAGGAGTCCGTGAAAGCATCGAAGTCCTCACCAGAGCAATGACAACAGCCCCCTTTGACAAGGGGCTCCTTCCTCTCCTCCTTGTTACTGATGGGGCTGGTCATCACCTGCTTTTCCCAGTTATACTGGTTTCGCTGTTCTGGAAAGAGCAGGCACTTCCTTAAGTCAGCTAACGGCGACTAGAGCCCGTTCCCTGTGCAGAGCCTGTGCTGTGGAGATCTATGCCTGTAGCAGCAACTTTCAAATATTCCAACACCAGAGATCATTGGCACTTACAGTGGATGACAATAGACATCAGGAAGCTTCTCTTACAAAAGAAACACCAAACCAAAAATATTTATTAGTATTTTGAAAATTCATTCATTAGATGTAAAACAGAGCACTTTGGTATATTTGTGTGTATAAAAAATTCCTATCTAACCTGGGCAAACTCATGGCTTCTAGAATATGACACAGAATATAGTTTGTCTGTAGTTTGCTCCTTGTACATTAGAAAAGCTGAATTGCTGGATCTACAGACGCTTGAAGACTTTACAGCAAGACAACACATTGCACACTTGTCTGCAAATTAACATTTGCGGGCTGCTTTTAGATTAAGTTTTCTCACTTAGGTTGGCTGAATACGAACTAGTGAAAGAAAAATTGCTCTGCACTCCTCAGCAGCATATGGAGAGGGGAAGGCTCACCTCCCCTGACCTGCTGGCCAGCCTTTGTCCACCGCGGCCCAGGACACCGTCAGCCGCCTGTGCTGCAAGGAAGGACACTGCTCCTGGAAATGCTCTGGATGGTAGAGCAGAGAGTGTCCTCGGCAAGTTTGCTGACAGTATGAAACAAGGGTGGCAGATACACCACAGGGTCATGATTCCATCCAGAGGGACCTTGACAGACTGGAGAAATGGTCTGATGGGAACCTCACAAAGTCAGCAAGGAGAAGCGCAGTCCCGCACCCGGGAAGGAACAGTCCCAGGCTCCAGTACATGCTGGGGATGTCCAGCTGGAAACCAGCTCAGCAGAAAAGGGCATGGGGTTCCTGGTGGACACAGAGCCAGCAATGTGCCCTTGCCACAAAGAAGGCTAGAAGGTATCCCTGGCTGCATTAGGAGAAGCGTTGCCAGCAGGTTGAGGGAGGAGATCCTTCCCCTCTGTCCACCACTGCTATGGCCATCCCTGGAGTACCGACTCCAGGACCAGGCTTCCCAGTTCAGTATAAGTATCTGAAGGGAGGGTGCCAAGAGGAGGGAGCCAGGCTCTTTACAGAGGTGCCCAGTGACAGGATGAGCCGCAATGGGCACACACTGGAGCACCAGAGGTTCCCCCTGAACATCAGGGAACACTTTGTCATCACGAGGGAAACCAAGCACTGGCACCAGTTGCCCATGCAGGTCGTGGAGTCTCCCTCCTTGGAAATATCCAAGAGCCCTCTGGACGAGGGACCCCTTCCAACCTCATCCACTCTGATTAATGAAGGCGTTGAGCAGTTTTAGATTCAGTATTGACCCCTGGGGTACACCATTAGTTACTGGCCCTCAACTAGACGTCATGTCACCGATCACATGTGTCCGATGTATTTCACAGCGTGCCATGTAGGGTACACTGTTCCCTCTGAGTCCACCCACCCAGCAGACAAACACACCGAACACGCTGCCTTCAAGGGATAACCCCCATTCACACCCAAAAGATGAGAAATGCCTTGAAACGTGTCTAAGATACTGAGGGAGGGCGATGGGAAGAGCAGGAAACGCAACTGCAAACCTCTCAGGCTGGTTCAAGCGTGTTCCCTTTCTCCAACAAAGCTCACCTTGGATCAAACTCCCAGCAAAGGTGGCAAATAACCAGCTCAGGGCTATAAAGGACACCTTCTGCCTCCAGAGAAAACCTCACGGCACAGAGCGAAAAAAAGCATTACGGAAGTTTGCTGTAGTGAGATAGAAAGTGCATTCTAACTCAATCTTGTGTTAAATTGCATATGTCTCCCAGTATTACAAGACCTAAAAATTCTAATTATCAGATTCCAAACAGAAAGAAAAACAACTCTTAAGCATTTTTTCTAAATACATGGTCAAACACCCTCTCCCAGATAAGCTCCTAAACTAAGACATCAAAGAAAACAGAAGTCCCTATGTGTTTATTACACTCTGCTTTTTAAATAGATGTGTTTTTTTTCCATACAAAAAAACCCCCATATCCCACATTAGAAATTCTGCATAATGAAGTAGCAAGATCTGGAGCCGTTAATGAATTTCAGAATCTGAGAACAATATTCTGCATACATACATAGAACAGGGTGCCAGTTAAATCATTTTTAAAAAAAACCCAAAAAAACAATCCACCTGAAAACCTGTGTAAAATGTTTAACT